TCACTTGGCTGATATCCAAGTTTCACCAAATAAAGAAACAGAAGATTCTTAGAATCAGTGAGTCTTTATCATAGCTGTACCCTGGATGCTCTTTAAAAATATCAGTATCTAGGGAAACACCCTAGAAATACCTTAAAAGCTGAATTTAAGAGATAATCCATGGCCAGAACCTTAAAGACTCTACTAACTATAAGGAGAGGGAGTATGCGTGAGAAGATATTAACCAAACATTTTCTTTTATTACACTCTCAGATACCACATAATGAAACAAAAAATACTTGGAAATGTGGGAGAAATTTAGTATATCTTCTACTCTCTCCCCATTGACTCAAAGATAACTATCTTTCTATCATACTGGTATAGGATACCCACAGTATTGTTCTTTGCTCTACACTCTCCCTACCAGCAATCATTCCAACTGTAGAAAAAGTGCATGGTATTTGGGGAGGTTTAGTTCCCATAACTATACACAATAAGCAGTGATAGAGACAGGAAGCTCACAGATAGCAGTGCCTCTATAAGCTTTGTTAAGCTATAAATTAAAATAAAATAAAATAAAATAAAATAACCACTGCTGTCGAATTGGATCCGACTCATAGGGACCCCTCCTTGGGTTTCTGAGGCAGTAGCACTAGGGAAGTAGATTGCCCAACCTTTCTTCTGAGGAGTGGCTGGTGGGTTTGAACTGCCAATCTTCTGGCTAGCAGTCAAATATCATAGGCACTATGCCAGCTGAATATATATAATACATATCCTTTGCTTTAAAAAAAATAGGACTTTAAAGGTGTTATAAATCAATGGATGTAAAAAAATCTTGAAGGCCCAAAGGAAGATTATACCTCTGGAGATTATCTACTTCAGAATCAAAAGAAAATTGCCAGAAATAGCTGGGCATCTTCAATAGACTATAAAAACATAGTCTCTATCAAGCAGAAAAACAAAGAGTAATTAAGAAAGAAATGAGATGTGAAGAAAATAGGAAGAGATAAAAAATAATTTCAAGAAAATGAAAAATGCAACAGCAAAACAAATCCATAATAGACATATAAGCATGGAACTGATGGTGTAGATAATCAAATGAGTAATATGAAAAACTAATTTGAAACTACAGAGGAAAAGGACAAAGAGCAGATATCAGACATCCAGTGTACAAACAATTAATACTCACAAAGAAACCAGAATACTTGGAAAAAAATCAGATATAATGGAAAATCACTTCCTAGGTGGAAAAATATCAGTGTATACAGATTGGAAAGATGTTTAATGTACCCACCATTAGGACTATCTTACCAACTTCTCTTAGTTAATGGAGCACTGAAAAATGTCTATAAGCAATCATGCTTAAAAGACATAAATCTAAGTGAAAAAACAGACACAAAAGATTTCTCTGTAACACTTAGTGAAACTAGATATTGAATAAAGCAATATCAATATATTTTTAACCACCACTCATCTATCATTTTCTCATACTGTGGTGGCTTGTGGGTTGTTGTGATGCTGAAAGCTAAGCCAATGGTATTTCAAATACCAGCAGGATAACCTGCTGGTGGACAAATTTCAGTAGAGCTTCAACTAAAAAAAGAAGACAAAGAAGAGGGATGTGGTGAAATACTTCTTTAAAAAAGATCAGTTTAAACCTTACAAATAGCAGCAAGAGTGTTATCTAATAAGTGCTAGAGGATAAGCCATTGAGTTTGGAAAGCATCCAAAATACAACTGGGGAAGAGCTGCCTTCTCAAAGTAGCATCAACTTTAATGATGTGGATGAAGTAAAGCTTTCTGCTAATGTGGCACAACTCAAAATGAGCTGCAAACACACATTAATGATCAGAACATGCAATGTATGAATCATGAATCTAGGGAAACCGGAAGTTGTAAAAAATGAAATGGAACACATAAAGATCAATGTTTTTGGTATTAGTAAGCTGAAATGGACTGGTATTGGTCATTTTAAATCTGACAATCATATGATGTACTATTCTGGGACGGACAAATTAAAGAATAATGGCATCACATTCACCATAAAAAAATTTTTTTTTTCAAGGTCTACCCTGAAGCACAAAGCTATCAGTGATAGGATAACATTCATATACCTAAAAGTAGTTAATACTACTATTGTTCAAATTTACACTCCTATCACTAATGCCAAAGGTGAGGAAATTGAAGATTTTACTAATTATGCTATCTGAAATTGATCAAAAATGCAATCAAGATTCATGAATAATTACTGGTGATTGGATACAAAAGTTGGAAACAATAAAGAAGGATAAGTAGTTGGAAAATATAGCCTTAGTGACAGAAATGAGACCAGCTATGCATGATAGAATTTGGCAACACCAACAACTTATTCGTGGCAAATGCTTTTTTCAACAACATAAACAGTGACTATACATGTAGACCTTACTGGATGGAATATACAGGAATCAAATCAACTACATCTATAGAAAGAGATCATAGAGAAGCTCAATATCATAAGTCCTAACAATGTTAAGGGCCAACTGTGGAACAGATCATCAATTTCCCATGTACAAGCTCAACTTGAAGCTGAAGAAAAGAAAAGCAAGCCCACAGAAGCCAAAGAATAACTGTGAGTATATCACAACTACATTTAGAGACAATCTCAAGAACAGATTTGACACATGAAAAAACTAATGGGTGAAGACCAGATGAGTTGTGGGCCAACATCAAGGACATTATACACAAAGAAAGAAAAAGGTCATTAAAAGGACTAGAAAGAAAGAAAAGACCAAAGAGAACTGAACCACACCTGTGGCTTCCAGCCAAACAAAAGACAGGCATATGAGATAAACACTTACCTGAGGTAGATATGCTCCTTGGAGAGAACTATCATGGGAGACAGAAGGGCTGTTTATGCACAGGGACACAGCTCAGGGGGCAGGAGTGTATGGAGGGATGGACACAGGGAAGAGGTACCTATTGGGAGGAAGTGGGAGGGGAGCTGTTGCATTGTGGTAAATTGTAGTCAATATCATGAGACAAGTGTGTGTGAACTGCTGTATGGAAAGTGAATTTGCTCTCTAAATTTTCACCCAAATCACAATTTAAAAAAGAAGAAGAAGAAGAAGAAAAGACCAAAAAGATGTCAGAAGAGGCTCGGGAACATGCTCTTCAATATAGAGTAAAGTGAATGGAAGGTATATAGAAGTGAAAGACTGACCAGAAGATTTCAAAGGGCAGCTCAAGAAGACAAAGGAAAGTATTATAACAAAATGTGCAATGACCAAGAAGGGGACATCAAGCTCAATTGGCATAACATACTACACAAAAACACTGCTCTACATCCTGCTGTGGTGAGTAGCAACTGGGGTATTAAAAGGTTGCAAGCGGCCATCTAAGATGAACAGTTGGTCTCTCCTTGTCCAGAACAAAGAAGAATGAAGAAAACCGAATATGCATGGAAACAATTAGTCCACGGGACTAGTGGACAATCCGAACGTCAGCCTATATGACTGTGAGACTAGATGGTGCCTGACTACCACTGTCAACCATTCGGAAAGGAATCATTTTAGGAGATCCTGGATAGAGTGGGAGAAAAATGTGGAACAAAACTCAAAATCATAAAAAAAAAAGACCCAGCTTACTGGTCTGATAAAGACTGGTGAAACCCCCGAGACTATGGACCCTAATCACCCTTTGGGCCAGGAATTGAACTCACTCCCATGGCCTCCAGCCAAATAGGCATATAAAGTGAAAATTTACACCAGGTAGGTACACTCCTGAGAACAATCAACCATAGGAGATCAGAAGGGCTGCATTTGCACAGGGAGATAGCTCAGGCAGAAGGAATGCATAGTAAAGAAGGACACGGAAAAGATAACTACAGGAAGGAAGTGGAAAGAGAGCTGTTACATTATGGGGATTGCAAATAAACCGTATATGTAATGTTGTATGGAAAATCAATGTGCTCTTTTAAACTTCCATCCAAACCACAATTAAAAAAAATTAAAAATTAAACAGGACCCATACCTCATACCATACACAAAAACATATGCTTTCCCTCTGAAGTAGAAAGCAGAAATATCTGTTAAGTGATAGGAGAAAAGGGAATAAGTTTGGAGAGTAAATTAAAAACAAACAAACAAACAAACAAAAAGCATATCATTGCCAGGTGGTGTTGAAGGTCCTTGAGTCACAAATTTATAGTAGTTACAATCCAGCCAATTGGGCAGGGATTTTCATCAGAGATTGTCTACTTGAGGAGGCAGGGAGAAAGCAGGGACATGAAGGAACTTTAAAATAAGTATGATATATATTTTTTAAAGGGAGGGGGGATAGAAACATGAGTAAAACTAAAACAGGTGACCAAATGAATTTAGAGAATTAGCAAAGAAATATTAATAAAATTATAGATTGTGAACTCCAAGTAGGAAAATGAATGAAAGAGAGGAAAGAAGAAATGAAGGGAGGGAGAGAGATGATAGTTTAAAAAGAGGAAAATAAAGCAGAGGGTCAAAGAGCTGAAGATTTAGATGAGCTAGAAATAATTATAGTTAGAATAATTGCACAAGCAGGCAAGAAGAGAGAAGCTGATCAGAAAGCTGGGTGCTTGACTCAGTGACCAGAGGTGGAGTAATTATGAATGAGTAGGTGATCTAAGTATAGTAAAGAAGGTCTTAGGCAATAGGGAGTCAAGGAACTGAAAGCCAAGTTCTTAGTTATATCATGTCCATGGACCTTCATGGAACTCAGAAATTCTTAACAACTACCATATCAATATATTTGGATATTCTGTTTATAATTAAAATGATGAATATTAAAAATAGCAGAACTTTTACAAAAGTTCCCAAAGCAGAAACCTAAGAGAGAAGTGAAGATCAACTTTTTCTCTTCCACTTCTCCTCAAAAGTGCTCAACATCTTTCATAAAAGTATAAACAGTTTTATTAGTATGAGGCATCGCTGTTAATTATGGATTTGTACAAGATAGAATAATATTATTACAATCATGAACTTAATAAAAATAAAGAGAAAGATTCTTACCAAAAGAAGGTGACTCCCTTCCATCCTCTAAACCTGAATCTCTTTCTCTGTCTCTCTTTCTGTGTTTATGACCACGGTGCCTGTGACGTCGATGACTTTTTCTTCCTCCCAGGGGCACATGAACGCCAATGAAGAGAGTCCGGTGACCTGTATTGAGAAGTAGATACACAACATAAAACTCAAAATTGTGCTAGGGCATGGAAGATGATGATTATATGTTGATAGGAACACAATCCAGTTTAATCCAACAAATAGTTTTTGAGTGTTTATGAAATGTGGAGCTTGACACTGTAATTTGGGACTGCATCTAATTAAGTATACCATGAATATACCACAAAGAAAAAAAAAAAAAGTATAATCCTAATTATTGGTTATATATTTTGCAATCATCATTAATTCATTAACTCTATTTTATTTATATTCTCTTTTTGTCTGTATTCCATAATTTAGAAGTATGGTCTTCTCATTAAAAAAAAAAAAAAATAAAAATAATCTATTCTACCCTCTCTCACCCCTCAAGTAACTCCTTATCTCACCAATTTCTTTTCTTCAAAAAAGTCTGTGAAAAATTTACAATCACTATTGCCAATGGGAGCTCTGGTAGCATACTGCCTAAGGCATTGGACTGCTAACCAGAAGGCTGGTGGTTCGAACCCACCAGCCTACTCCTCAGAAGGAAGTTGGAGCAATCTACTTCCATAGTGACACTGCCTCAAAAACTCAAGGAGGGGTCGCTATGAGTCAGGCCTGACTCGACGGCACATAACAACATTGCCAATAAAACATATTTTACTAGAGTTCCTAATAATGCCAAATCCTATTAATTTTTTTCAGTTCTACTGTTTCTATCTCTGGCACTTGATATTGTTGACCACTCTCTTCTCTATGACATCATTGTCTCTCATTTCTCCTCTTCTTCTTTGTTCATATTCCATATTCATTTCTTTCACTGGTGCTTCTTTTACTTAATCCTTCAAGGTTGGAAATTCCCAGGATTCTATCTTTGACTCAACTTCTTGATATCAATATATATTGAATACATATGTATCATACTGCAGGCTCTGAAACCTTCATCTCAACTCCAGACCTCTCTCTTGGACTCCAGATCTATGTATCCATCTACTTATGAGACATATTCACCTGTACATCCTTCTCAGACATGTCAAACTAAACCTGTCATGAAACTCATCCTTTTCTTTGTCCCTCAAGTATCAATGATCTCAATAAATGCCTCATTATCTGTCCAAACCAAACCAAACCAAACCAAACTCACTGCCGTCAAGTCAGATCCAACTCATAGTGACCCCTCCTGGAGTTTCTGAGGCAGTATCTCTATGGAAGTAGATTGCTCACTCTTCCTTCTGAGGATTGGCGAGTGGGTTTGAACCTCCAGCCTTCTGGTTAGCAGTCAAATGCCTGAGGCACTATGCCACTGGTCCAGTCATCTCAAAATCCATTCAGTTTATTACCAGGTCCTGACTTCTTAGCGTCTCTTGACGCTAAGAAGCATCAAGAGATATAATCTTGAAGGAAGACTGGGCAATCTACTTCAGTGGTGATATTGCCTCAGAAACCAAAGGAGGACATGCTATGAGTCAGATCGGACTTGATGGCAGTGAGTTTTGTTTTTCGTTTGGTTAGACTCTAAACACACTCTGCCTCACATACTACAAGCCAGCTATATCTAACTGCTCTCTCATTGCTGAATAGCCAGATGTTTCCAAGTCTCTCTGCTTTTACTTAATGCTGTATTATTGTTCCAGATGTCAAAAATTTCTTTCTTGCTCCTGACTATCTGATGAATATCTACTCATATCTCAAGTCTCAGTTCAAGAATTATGTTATTTATGAAATTTTCTATGCACTTTCATTCTACATATAGTTGATAACTATTACACCTATGACTACTTATTAGCCTAATTTCATGTATCATAATACAATAACTCTCTTGTGTGTGTGTGTTTTAAATTTTATTGTGATTTGGGTGAAAGTTTACAAAGCAAATTCATCTTCCATACAGCAGTTCACATACACTTTGTCTCATGACATTGACTATAATCTCCCACAATGCAATAGCTCTCTTCCCACTTCCTCCCCATAGCCTCTTCTTCCCTGTGTCCTTCCCTCCCATGCACTCCTGCCCCCTGAGCTGTCTCCCTGTGTATACAAAGCCCTTCTATTCTCCCATGATTGACGTCTCCAAGGAGTGTATCTACCTAATGTAAATGTTCAGCTCATATGCCTGTCTTTTGTTTGTCTGGAAGCCACAGGAGTGGGTCCAATTCCAGACCTGAGAGGCAGCTAGGGGCCATAGTCTCAGCGGTTCCACCAGGCTTGCTCAGACCAGCAAAAATGGTCTTTTTTTTTTTTTAAATGATTTTGAGTTTTGTTCCACATTGTTCTCCCACTCTATCCAGGATCACCTATATAGATCCCCCTCCAAGTGGTTGACAGTGATAGCCAGGCACCATCCAGTTCTTCTGGTCTCATAGTCGTATAGGCTGAAGATCATATGGTGCATATGGTGTACCAGATCCTTGGACTAATTGTTTCCATGGGTCTTTGGTTTTCTTCATTCTTCTTTGCTCTGGATGAGGAGAGACCCATCATTGCATCAAGATGTCCACTTGCAAGCTTTTAAGAGCCCATTTGCTACTCGCCAAAGTAGGATGGGGAACAAAGTTTTTGTGTACTACGTACGCCAATTAAGCTTGATGTTCCCTGCGACCATGGTCCTGAGCCCACAGGTTCAACTACTCACTCCTTCTGGGTAGTTGGCTGTGGCCAAGAAGTGACTACAACCTTTTCCTTTGTCACCTCTACTATATACATGGAAGTTGTTACAGGACATACAAATACACTTGCAGAAATACTCTCTGACAACTCTATCCATGGTCACAGGCACACTCCCCACTGCTGCACAGACATACCTAATCATTGAGCCTGTCCACCCATCTATCCACCCACAGATCAATGTTTGCCATCATTGACAACACAGTACTTCACATGCAAAAGGGTTCATCTCCCATGCACCTCTCTCTGTCTTCCTCTTCCTCAATGCCACTATGTTGATTACTCACATTTAGTAAATTGTCTTCCCTTTACCCAAATCAATTCTTGTCTCTATTTATCTAGTAGTGTTCCCTCCCACACCTGGTAGCCAACAAAGAAAATTTCCTTCCATATATAAACCTTTCCTTGCCATTTTATAGTAACGGAGTAATACAATATTTGTCCTTCTGTCACTGGCTTATTTCACTCAGCTTAATGTTCTCCAAGTTCATCCACATTATTCAGTGTTTTGCAGGTTCTACTATAGTCTTTCCTAGGCCTTTTAATCCCCTTTCTCCCTTTCTCCTGCCCTGCTGCTTTGGGCATACCTGAGTTCCTCTCTTCACATGGATCCTTGCAACTGACTGCTCCTCTGTCTGAGTTCTTGGCTTTTAATCCCCCTTCTCCCACCCTCCCGCCCTGTTGCTTTGGGCATGCCTGATTTCCCTCTCCTCACCTGGATCCCTGCAGCTGACTAATTCTCTGTCAAGGTCCATTTTTCCTGCTCTCCCTCACTGCTGCTTTGGGTGTGCCTGAGTTCTTCTCCTCACCTGGATCCCTGTGGCTGACTGCTCCTCTGTCTGGGTTCCTAGCTTTTTTATCTAGGGGTTTCTCCCACTGACAGAGGAGGAGTCAGCCACAGGGATCCAGGTAAGTGTGGTACAAGAGGTTTCCAACAGGGAGGCAAACTTGTCTGTCAGTTTGTCTTACCGTGCTGACATGTTGATGTGAGTTTTGAGGCTGAGCCACTGGTGTTTCTAACCCAGTGGGATGCACATGGTACACAGGTATCAGCCCAGCTTACAGACTGA